AGTGTAAAATTTGATTAGTGGAGTTTAAAACTAGAAAAAAAAAAAAAAAAAAAATGGTTAGTTTATAAAATAAGTGCTAAATAATCAAGAAAGATCAAGAAAAATATTATTTTGAAACTCTTATAGCTAAGTAAAATTAAATTTAAAAAAAGATGATTAATAACAGTTTCATTCATATCATATTATATATTTAATATATTATTATTTTATTAGTATTTATCCAATTTTAAGTTGGTTTTAAAAACTAATTTTAATTTAGATTTAAACCCATTAAATGTTATTAAAAAAAACATAACTTATTATTGTAATTAATATTAAAGTTATTAACGTGAGGTATGAAATATTACTTAATTTAAAAAATTAACTTTTTTAAATATAAAATGTGGTATATATAACAAATATAGATATAATTAAATATTATATCAAAAAAAAAAATAAATATTCTTTATTAAATTCCAGTCTACCACCACTGATTTTATTCAAAAAATAGTCATCTGCAGATAATTTTTTTCTCAGAATAATAATTTCGATATTTTCCCCTCTGGCCATAATTATTTTATATTCTGATTTAAAAATTACGTACAATAAATAGGAGTAAATAATAAATTGTCTCAAATTAAATTGAACTGAATAATTAGTAACGGCCAATAAAATTGGATTTACAAAATCGTGTAGTTATTGGTAGTTCTGACACTAGTGCTAAAAAATTATGTGTATTATTCACTCCAAAACAAAATTTAATCAACAATCATAAACTACAGTGTCAAGATGAGGATTTAAATTATTCCGATACACACGCAAGATCTTTGTACCAAGAGAGCTATATAAATTGGACGCCAAGTCAAGCGCATAAAAAAGGTTCAACTTAAGTTATATACATTTTTTCTTCGTACCTTATATATATGTATACATAAATATTGATTGGTTATATTTTTTCGCTTATTCACTAGAGGAAACACCAGAAGAGTGGGTTCAGAAATGGAGGAACGAGTGTCACAATGTTCGAGATGCTGACGATTTAGTGCAGGATTTATCGAATCGAATTATCAAATCGCAAAGGATGATATTAAATAGGAAAAAGATTGGCTATGCTTAGTGAGCGGTTTTGTTAACATTTTGATACTATTTTTTTTAGATTTAAATTTATGAAAATAAGAATTCAATGATTTTGATTTAGTCACACAATTTTATATTAAATTATATAAATTCATCAACAAAGTACAATTTTGACCACTAGGTACTTATAATTTTATAATTTTAAAATGGTTTTCAAAAATTGTAAAAGAAAAATACAATTTTTTTATAAAATGTTGTAATGGTTTTCAGCAGAWTTAAATTGTTTTTAACTTAGAGAATATTAAAATTATTATTTTTTTTTTCAAAAAGTTTTGCAACTTATAAATCTTTATTTGAATATTACTTTGGTATATCATAATATTTTTATTAAATAATTATAAAGTTTTAATTTTTAAATACAATTATGATTTTTTTCTCAGTATAATATAAATATATTAATAATGAATAATGAGAACACGCCTTTTATGAAATTAAAAATGTTTAGAGTCCAATTTTAAACGTATAATGAAATCTCTTAAAATAATATATGAATAATATACATAAGACTTGTTACAAGTCACAATGTTTGTCCGGAATGAATTCCGAAACTAGTAAACCAATCTTGTATTATAAATATTTATATGTCTATAAATTCTATATTATAATAATTAATTAATTTTCCTTAAATCATAAAATTGTAATTTTTTTTAAGTATAAATTAATTTCTATGAATATTGATTGCACCAAACTCAGATCAAAAATATGACAAAAGTAAAAAAAAAACTAAAATATTTGTATGTGTAGCTACAATCAAATTGAATGATGATTACTGATTTTAAGATAGGTACCCGACCTCAATTTTTTTTTTTTAACTTAACTYAATTAATTTGTTCAATTACCCACAGAAATTATAAATATTTTTTTAAATTCATTAAAATTTTTGTTTTTGGTATGCTAAATAATTATTCTATGAACTCCACTCGATATATATATATATATAAATAACCTAATTTTAATAAATACTCACAAGAATAAATTAATGGATTCATCATATTTATGGAACTATTAAGCCAAGACTTAATTTTGAATAACTCATTTAATTATAGGTTGTTTTCAAAAATTATCATACAATTATTTCTAAATGTATCATTCAAAGGCAATAAATTGAGAACACCAAAAATATTTTTGGCTTAAGTTTTCTTATAAGTACACTAACTCTCTATTTTGATTTTAACGAATATTATAACTTTATAACTCATCTAAATTCAAATGTATAGAAAATAATGACATTTAATATTTAAAAAAATTATTACATCATCATTATATTATTTCCATAGTATTTAATTTTATGTAATTATCTTTCATGAAAGTTATATTTAAATTAATTTTACCCAACCATGAAATTGGACAAAAAGTAATAAGTAATTTTTATGAGTAGGTAGTCTTGTGAGAGTGTATTATTTTGTTTTTAAATCAAAATTCGTATTTAAGTATACTTACAACTTAACTTTCAAATATATTTAATATTAAATTATCACACTCAGAAACGACTAATGATATTACATATTATTAAACATTATTAAATATTAAAATTGTAAAATGTAATTATAGCTTTTCACTTCATTTTTTTAGATATTAATTTAAATAACACAAAATATGTAGCAAATAGTAACAAATTTGCAACACATAATATACATGCATATACGATATACCTACTTTAAACATTTTATCGAGCTGTATCAACACATTCAATAATATGTTGAGATAGTTAAGCTTTATAATAATATATAAACTGACTATTTATATACATAGAATTTTAACAATTAAAAAAAAATTGCTGACTAGCAATTTCCGCTTCTTACAAAACTATATTGAAATTGTTTTATGGTGAAGAATGCTTATAATAATACTACTGAAAATAATGAGGAGAGTCCTCAGTTTTCGAGCAAACTAAATTTCCGTATATATTTGTACACTTAATTTAATTTATAATTAAACTTTTTATCAGTGAATAAGTCAGAATGTTATCATTAAAATAAATAATATAACACAGTTATCAGCTTTTATATAAATTAATAACTATTTATTCAGGTAATATATTTTTTTTTTACCCAACAGAAAATATACATAGGTTTCATAATTGTGTGGGTACCTACTAATAATATATTTTATATAGYGATTTTAGAAATTGGTATACCTACTCAATATATGAACATATTTGTCGCAGTGTACAGCGGCCGCCCCTTTAGGTAAGCATGGTCATCCTCTTACTCCCAAAAATTTTATTGGACTAAATGTATGCCAAAAATTTGCTCTACAATATATTCTTTCGTTAAAACAAAAAAATCAAGAAGATATCATTAGTAGTTCTAGAGTTTACCCCGCACAAAAATTTTAATTTTACATTTATATAGTTAGAATATGTGTGGCGAGTGCCTACGAAGATGCTCAAATATAGCTTAAAAAATCCAAAATATTATTATAAGAGTTGTAAGTATTAGAAATWAGAGATATTTAAAATATATATAAATATATATATATTGAAAGAACTTAACGCACTCACGACACATAATAAATAACGTATGGGTATATAAAATCCTACAGTGGCTTGGTGAGGCGCGGTCGTACGCTCAATCTGGGGAAATGCACTGAGCGTACGTATCGGCCGCAGTTGCTAGCTCCCGGATGGATGACCACCCGGGATTTTTAGCAACATATCCTTGCTACACATACACAAACACGTGTTACAACCCTAMCCACTTAAAAACCTACAAACAAACATACAAAAATAACCCCTACCGTACCACCCCCTACGCCAAATGGCCTATGTTGCCGCGGGTTCTCCTTACAAAATAAAAAAATCCTACACTATTTCTATACATAAAAGAAATAAGATATTATCACCCAAGAATCATGAGGTTAAGACTATTTATGTAGTTAATAATTTCTGGTTAAAATAGCCTAAAAATATTGGATGTCATAAAATGTTTATTTTTATGGGGATTCAGATATATAATGTAATAACTAATGATGTGCCTTATTTAATTTATCCTTGCCGATATTCAATAAATACCTTACCCRGTAACTTTTTCATGAATGTGATAAAAGAAAACCTACCAAAATATATCATACTACAATACCTTCGGCCTTCATGTTAAATTTTTCGTTTTATTTAACTATTCGTTTGTTTTTGCTGTTTTAACTTCCTTATATTTTATTGTATCGATTGAATTTATTAGTTTTGATGCTTTAATTTGGGAAGAATTGTCATTTAAAAAAAAGATCAACATTGAATAACAATCTTGTAAATAATTGTTTCGATTTAGAATATTTAAGTTCCTGATAATTGTTTAAAAGTGATGCACTATAGTTCAGTTTTTTAAGCCTGAAACTATAGAATATTATGCAAATAACATAAATTTATAAAAATGTGGGTTTAAAAAAAAAGTTGCCATATTTTTATTCTGAGCACTCCACATTTGAAATTGTAATGTATGACCTCTCACTAATATTTAGCTGCAAATGCATGCAGTATAGTAAAATATGATCCGTTCATTAAATGACGTTAAAAAAATATATTCTGTGTTTTGGAGTATGAAATGAAAATCATGGGTTACCGTTTAAATTTTTAAGAAAAATACAAAYCCCAAAGAAAACGTTATTTAAAAGCTATACAAAATTATATATATATATTAACATAACTGTGGGGAAAATGTAGTATTTACTTCAAAGTCATGAGAACCTTTTTATCTTGGATCACTGCAAAACATGACTGAGAAAATGAGTGCCGTAAGTTAAATGGATCTCTTTTCATGTATACATGTATATTTAATGTATATATATCATAAGTAACCTGAGACATTTTAGTGGATTTTCTACCCAAGGCCAAGATAATAATTACATTGCAACGTAAAATATATTCTGATACAAATAATGAACTCCCTGTGGACAAATTTTGACGAGGTATATGAATTAGTGACCTAGTAAATTGGTTTTTAATTTTAATTTAAAGAAATAAGAAACACGATTATCGATAATTTCTCACACTTCATAAAACATTATCCACGATGGATATTTGTAGGCTCATAACTCCTCGAAGTGGTAAACACATTTGTTTTATTTTTTTTTTCTAAAACGTAAAAACGATAACTCCAAGTATTTTATTAATAGTAGTGCTGAATGTTATTGTAGTTATTGTACATAAACCAATTTTTTATTTTTTTGAAATTTATCTCATCACTCAAAAATACTATAAGTATAGGCTCAATGATTATTTTTGTGTAGATAAAAACTAAAATATTGAATTAGTTAAGTAACTAGGTATACTCAATTTAAAATKTATTTGAAAATTTTTTTAAATTTCAAAAAATAAGTTTTGAAAAACAAAAGTATATATGGATTCTATAATATGTAAATTTTTACACACAAAAATTTATTAATTACTAATACATCCTTGGTATTAATGATTCAGAAATTATTTTAAATTTAYGCCCATCCTAAAATCGATCTATTTTGAAGCACACCTGGTTCATTAGTTAATACTTATGAGTTATAATTATCACTATACAGAATGTAACAAGTAGGTAATAACCATCAGATGAAATTAACTTTAATAATGTAATAGATGTTATTAATTTAAAAAAAAATATATATTTAACATAATTAGATCCAAAGTTGATTTGTAGTTGGTTTTTTACATTTGGCAGTTATTTCTGTTACACCGCGTACCAATAGTTATGAAACAAATATTATATATTATATTTAAATGAATTATTCTTCGTTCTCATATTATAAAATGTTACGAAAATATTGTTCAAACGTTGGTGGAATTTTAATCATTTATATTTTTCACTTTATAATGCAACAGATTATACGATGCCATTCTATGTTAGGACATAAGTATGTATTCGTACAACACCACTTACTAAATATAACAACATGTTTCGGAAAGGGGATTAATTCAGGCTTTTGTTTTGGCTTACATGTGCCATAAAATGTACCTACACGAATACATACGTATAATAAATGTAAATATTGTAA